CTTAACTGACCGAGCCACCCAGGCGTCCTCCCTTTTCATTCTTGACATCACTTATTTGTGCTTCTCTCTTTTTCTGGATTACTCCTTCTATGGGCTTATCAATTTTATTAGTCTTTTCAGAAAACCAACTACTCACTTTGTTGATCTTCGTTATTGTATGTGTGTGTTCTATTTCACTGGTATCTGCTCTCTCATTTTTTTCTTCTACTTGATTGGGTATAATTTGCTATTCTCTATTAGTTCTTCAAACTACTTTAATCTGACCTACTAGACTACCCTACTGGAATTGATCAAGTTGATGGCTTTCTTGTTTTCAATCCAGCAGACACTTATGTGGACTCGTGCTATTCTAGCTCTCAAAAGCATCTGCATAGTTCCTACATAAGACATTCTTCTTGGTTTTCATGTCTTCACACTCTCCTGCCTTCTATCATACTGTTCTTTACTCTTTTTTGTCTTCTGATCTCTCTTTTACTTCACATCTAAATACTGAGGTGGCTCAGGCTTGGTCTCTTCTCTGTCTACCCCAGGGATTGCAAACTCATGCCTACAAGTTCCAGATGGGAAATGTAAATGAAGATGTGGAGTGATTGTTTGCATTTTTTGAGCATATAGAGATATTCTTAAACTTCATAAAGAAATATGCTCCCTCCCTTTTTTCTTTAAATACAAGGCCTCTATGATCTTTTATTTTCCTAGCTTTAATAGAGACATGGATCCTGAGAAATATTTCTTTCTATTAGAAAAACAGTGGTGGGGTGCCTGGGAGGCTCAGTTAGTTTAAGGGTCCCACTTTGGCTCAGGTCATGATCTCAAGCAGGGGTGGGGAGGGGTGGTGGTGGTTGGGGTGGTGGGGAGGGTGGCAGGCTTCAGTGTTGAGAAGACATTATGGTGAATTAAAGAATTCATGCCTTAAAAAAATGAGGAAGCTGCCATATAGGTCAAGCCCAGTGTTGCCAGGTTGTCCAGTTCTTTCAGAGAAACTTGGAATATAAATTTTTTAAACATGTGAACTTCACTCATTTTTAAATTTTGGTGCAGGTTTTTAAATACGTGGAGACTAAAACAATAATATTAAATGTGTCTGTGGATCAGCAGATGTGTCCATGGACCACGAATTTATGTTCTCTATCTACATTCTTCTCTTAAGTGAGCTCATCTGTTTTATAGCTTTAAATATCATTGATACGCTGATGACTCTCAAAATTAGAACTCCAGCCTTTTAGATCCACCTACCTACTTGATGTCTTCCCTTCAGTGTCTAATAGTCATCTCAAACTTAACACGTTCCTAAAAGAACTCTTGAGTTTTCTTCCTAAATCTGTATTATCCTTAGTCTTCTCCACCTTTAAGATGAACATCAGGGAAACATCCAACCCCCAAAGGGCTAACTAACAGAAATGATAAGATTTAAAGTCAGACACATGGGCACCTGGGTGCCTCAGTTAAGCGTCTGCCTTCGGCTCAGGTCATGATTCCAGGATCCTGGGATTGAGCCCCATGTGGGGCTCCCTGCTCGGCGGGGAGCCTACTTCTCCCTCTCTCTCTGTCCCTACCCGCTGGTACTCTCTCTCTCCCTCTCTCTCTCAAATAACTAAACAAAATCTTAAAAGAAAAAAAGAAAAAGGAAAAAAAAAAGACACCAACAGGCGGTTATGGAATGCTGGGTTTCTTCAATGGCAAAATATATAGAAATTCAGAGAAGTAGTTGCAGAAACAGGAAATAACACAGCATGCTACCAGATAGAGGTAGAGGTATGGGTTTCCAGACCCCGCTGAATTACCCATGGTAATGTACAATTATGCATAAATCACTTGTACAAAATGAGGTTTCTGCTGTGTTTAGAAGGTAAAACATGCCTTTCTCTTGGGAAGGTGGGGATGGAGGTGTTAAATATCTTTCTGGCCCCTGTCTCCTGCCTGATATTTTCTAGAGTCTCTGGCTACAGATATCCTTGATCAACAGGTGCAAATAACTGGTGCAACAAAGATTGAATGAAGTGAAGGTTATTTTCCGAAGAGCATTGTTCTGCAGGCCCAGGCTTCAGGCCTACTGGAGGTCTATTTCCATTTCCTTACCATTAACCCCTTTCTAGTAATAGTACCTAGTGCTATCTCCAAAACAGACATAGCTTCCATCTAGTTCTCTACATCTTCTCTGCTTCCTCCCTAGCCCAAGCCTCACGTGACTCTCATCTGGACCTGTGTAGAACCTTCCTGACTGTCCTCCCTGCTTGGACCCCTGTGCACCTACAATCCCTCCTCCATTTAGTAACCAGAGTGAACTTTTAAAAATGAAAGTCAGACCATGTCAGTCCTCTGCTTAAAACCCTTTCATTGCTTTGCATAAAACCGACGTGTCTTAATTACTTATCTGTACTTAAGGACTTAGGTGCTCTGGCTTCTCTCAGCATCTCTGATTTGTCTCCTGTTCTCTTTCCATCCTCCTATTTTTTTTTTCTCATCCTCTTATTATTACTTGCCAGGCTTATTAAGCCTTTATTCTGTCACTTGAAAAGGACAAGCTCATTTGTATCTCAAAGACATGGTCTAAATTTAACTGATACCATAAACTCTATAGACTAAGGTTGCTCATTAATCTGTTCAAAGCCCAGAAGATGGTCCCAAATCATTCTTTACTCTCTGCTGCCATCGTGGGGTCATTTAAAGAATTGTGGTCTTTTCCAGAAAGTTTTATCAGCTCTAGACTTCCTGAAGCCAAAATGGATGATCCACTGGCCCTCAGAAAGGAGATTCTAAATCATCGCTGTCTAAGTGAATCACTGAAATACGGAAAAAGTGTTAGAAATTTTGTCTATGATTTTTGATGGCATCATTCATTAAAAGTTTTTACTTTTGTGTATGTTTAATAATGTCTCTAACATGTTAACATAGTACTACAAATAGTACTACATGTTTATAATATATAAATACATATTTATATATATATGTATGTCCCAGACATTTTTTTATGAGTTCGTAAAGTAGAAGTCAAAGACGAGGGCTCTCTGAGTTTTGTTTCTAACAGCAGCTCTGTGACTATCTCCTCTCTGTGGTTTTGGTCATCTCAGCTATGAAATATCCTACCTCAGGTTACTTGTAACACTTTGTTTGAACCACTCCTTTGGTATTTACCGTGTCATTTCTGATGGTGTGAGCTTGTGTGTATTGTACTCTACCAATAAGGCCGTAATCCCTGAGTCACATTCCATCTCTTGCGTAAGTTTATAGCCACAGTGGCGCGTGGCACAGGGCCTGGCATGATGATCCGTGGTAGTGAGAGCACCACACTGCCCAGAGTGGGGTTCCCCACTGTAAATAGCTGGGGCAGGTGATTCGTTGTGAGCGGCTATCCCGTACGTTGTAGGATGTTTATTGGCAGTCTGACCTCTACCAGTTAGATACTTGTGCACCCCATCCCCCAACTTGTGACAACCAAAAATTTCTATAGATGTTGCCATATTCCCTGGGGTAGTGGAAGGGGTGCAAATGAATCTCGGTTGAGAACTGCCCTTCTAGATCAGGGATTTTTTTTTTTTTTAAAGATTTTATTTATTTATTTATTTGAGAGAAAGAGAGAGAGACAGAGAAACAGCATGAGAGGGGAGAGGGTCAGAGGGAGAAGCAGGCTCCCCGCTGAGCCAGGAACCCAATGTGGGACTCAATCCCAGGACTCCGGGATCATGACCTGAGCCGAAGGCAGCTGCTCAACCAACTGAGCCACCCAGGCGCCCTAGATCAGGGAATTTTGGTCCTAGTCCTCACTTTGTCATTATGCCTGCATGTGTAGGCAAACTGCTTCACATGTAGGTCCTAAATTTCTTCTCCCGAAAAATGAGGATTGGGATTTCTTGGATGTTTAACTTGGGTTCCGTGGGATAGCTTTAGAGGATCTTTCATTAATGTGAACTTTGCAAGTAAATTTTTCTGGGAATAATTTCTTAGCTTTCAGCTTTTTTCTCCAACTTACCTGTTACCTCAAAAAGATTAAGTCAGTTTGAGAGAGAGATAGCGACAGAGATAGCGAGAGAGAGCACGATCAGGGAGGAGAGGGAGAAGCAGGCTCCCCACTGAGCAGGGAGCCCCATGTGGGACTTGATCTCAGGACCCTGGCATCATGACCTGAGCTGAAGATGCTTAACCAACTGAGCCACCCAAGCGCCCTAAAACTAAATCAGTTAATATATGAAGTGATTTTCTTCTCAAGATATAAGGATCCTAGCTTATGCTCAATATACCTTTTTTTTCCTTAGTGAACACCATTTGTGATCATAAAATGCTGAGAAAGCATTTTGTGCTACCAGGATTTATTTTATTGGCAGGTACCACTTACTTATAGTACTGTATTTTCTACCTGTTGTCAAATATTGGATCTTGAGGCAGTAACGACATGGTAAATGAGTAGCATTCCTAGCGCGCATGTTTGAGAGTCTGGATAATGAAAAGTGTGTATTTATCATTTGGCACTCTACTCCTTAGCCTTTTTTCACTTAGACTTTTATTTTTAAATTTTTTAAATTTTTTAAAAGAATTTTATTTATTTATTTGACAGAGAGAGACAAAGCGAGAGAAGGAACACAGCAGGGGGAGTGGGAGAGGGAGAAGCAGGCTTCCTGCCGAGCAGGGAGCCCGATGCGGGGCTCGATCCCAGGACCCTGGGATCGTGACCTGAGCCGAAGGCAGACGCTTAACGACTGAGCCACCCAGGCGCCCCTTCACTTAGACTTTTAAAACCAGCACATTTCACATGACTCAGCCAGCTCTCCTCTGTGTCACTCTTTCTGGACTGCTCACATTTCAGGCTCACATTTGTTTAGGTTGCTGCTTCAGAGTCCATTGCATTTGTTAGCATAGGCTCATCCTTCTATTTGAACCAAAATTTGGTCAGCCGCTTCCTTTGGGAAGTTAAGGATGTCCCTCTTAGACTTTTTTGCCAGTTTCATGTTGTACTTGGTGCTGTGGTAGGGCATGACCTGTTTCCCTATTTTCCTCTGTTGCAGGTGAATTCGGAAGGCAAAGCCAGCCCTCTGTCACTCCTTCAAATGGCCTCCCCAAGTGGCTTCTGTGTCTTAGTTCGCTTGCCAAAGCTGATCTGTGGAGGAAAAACACTACCAAAAACTTTGTTGGACATTCTGGCAGATGGCACTATTTTAAAAGTTGGAGTAGGATGTTCAGAAGATGCCAGCAAGCTTCTGCAGGACTACGGCCTCGTGGTTAAGGGGTGCCTGGACCTCCGGTACCTAGCCATGAGGCAGAGGTAGGGTTGTATGAATGCTGGGGTTCCTGGAGCTGTGGGGCAAATATCTTAGCAAGATTTGTGGAGTACTGAGAACAGTAAGGAAGCATCCAAAATTTTTTAGAAGCCTAGAGGCTTCTGAGATGCATATAAATTTGTGAGGAAATATTCCAGCTTCTGAGAAAACTTTAGTTACCTAGGATTGGTCTTCTTAGATGAAACATCGATAAGGTGTCTCCATAAGCTACAGGTTGTAAACTGATGGCACCACTGGCTAAATTAGGGCTTCACATTTTGCTTTTGCTTTTATTTATTTTTTCCCCATATGATATATATATATTTTTAAAGATTTTATTTTTATTTATTTGACAGAGAGGTAGTGAGAAAGGGAACACAAGCAGGGGGAGTGGGAGAGGGAGAAGCAGGCTTCCCGCGGAGCAGGGAGCCCGAGGTGGGGCTCCATCCCAGGACTCTGGGATCATGACCTGAGCTGAAGGCAGACGCTTCACCCAGGCACCGCTCCCCATATGATATTTTTGGGAATTTTTAGTTTAAATCCAGAAGATTTGATGTAAAAGTCTGTATTTGGGGCATCTGAAAAATCAGATGATTTGACTAAGCAAAGTCAGGGGTTCTAGATGGTAACAATTGCTGGGGAGAGGTATGTGTCTTTAGATGCCCATGCTCTGTTCAATCGCCAGAGTCCCCACCTCTCCCATCCACTGTAACCCCAACTCCTCCTGATAAACATTTGAGTCTGCAAACCCTGCTTTAGGCCAAAAGTAGTGGGAGAAAGTTACTGGGAGAAAGAGAGATTTCCCTTTTCCTTGGAATTCTATTCTTACGGAAATTCTATTCTAACTTGTTTTTCAGGGAGTGGCAATGACCTTGTCATGTGTGCCTGTGTGTGTGTGTGTGTGTGTGTGTCCTCATCTTAATAATGTGGAGTGAGGTAGCCTCTCTCCCTACCTCAAATGACACTGACATTAAAAGTTCAGAGGATTTGATAAACTAAGAGAAGGCCTGATTAAAATCTCTTCTTACCAGGGCGCCTGGGTAGCTCAGCCGGTTAAGTGTCTGCCTTCGGCTCAGGTCATGATCCTGGGGCGCCTGGGTGGCTCCGCCGGTTAAGCGTCTGCCTTCGGCTCAGGTCGTGATCCCAAGGTCCTGGGATCGAGCCCCGCATCGGGCTCCCTGCTCAGCGGTCAGCCTGCTTCTCCCTCTCCCTCTGCCTGTCTCTCTGCCTACTTGCTCTCTCTCGCTGTCAGATAAATAAATAAAATCTTTAAAAAAAAAACCACAAAAAACTTAAAAAAAATCTCTTCTTACCATTTTTTAGTATAAAATGGAATTTTATTTTAGCTTAGTAGTTTGTCTTATGTAAATACAACGCTTGTAAATTATCAAGCGTATTCAAGAAATACATTGACATATTTACTGTAAGAAAAATTTAAATCTGTGAAAGTATTTGGAGTGTCACCCCAACAGGCACCTCTCACCAGGCCTCCCCCCCCACTCCCCCACTGGGCACCACCTCCCCAGAGGTGTCCGCTGTCACTCTCCTCTGTTAGAGGCGGTGGGTGTAGGAGCTAAGAGTTGACCCTGGAGTGGGCTGTGCGGTGGCTGTCCCTCACTTCCCTAATCTGCAGCAATAATTAGGTTCCCGCCTCCCAGGATTGGTGTGAGGATTGCAAGAGTTAAACTGCGTGAAGAACTTGGAAAGAGTGTGTCACCCAGAGACAGTGCGGTATACTGCTGTGTTTGGCTCTTATTAATGTCCTCGTCATTGTTGTCATTGTCACTACCTCCCTCAGAGCCCTCATCGATCAGTGCGTCCTTCCAAATCTCTTCTGTGCAATTACAGTCCTCTCCATGAATAGATAGAAATGAGAGGTGCATGAATTCTCCATTTCACTAAGTGCAGAATGACCACGCATCAAAATAAGAATTTGGCCAAAGCTGAATATTACCATGAACTTCTCTAGAAATAAGAATGAAGTATTTATTCGGCCTTTCCGTGTTTAATGAGATTTTTAAAAACATTTTAAAAATTATTATTATTTTATTGTTGAACACTTTAGTAGTAAAATTAGAAGCTTTAGCCATTATAGTTTAAGAGATTTGACATTATAGTGCAAAGATTATACTTCGCTCTATTAGCTGTAGGTTGCTCCTGACGTTTGCCATAAGTAGTTGTTACTTTCAGTTGACGTTGGGAGGAGCACATTTTTTGGTAATGCTTTTCTTCTTACTCTTTATATTTTGTGTTATATGTTAACCAGAGGTAATTTATTATAGAGATTGTTGTATATGACTTTGGAATCTTTCCTGTTGAATTGAAACGGCAAAGATGGCATCTTGTTTTTAATTAATTCTCAAGAAACGTGCAACCTTTCCAAATATGACATTTAAAAAAAGACTAGTGACCTAAATGGAATCAAGTAGCTTAAAAATTAAGTACTGTCCTTCAACGGGGGTAATGATTTCAAGAATTAAAGAATAGCCGTGCTTGAAAAATTATACAGCTATTAAAAAGAATGAAATAGGGGTGCCTGGGTGGCTCAGTCATTAAGCGTCTGCCTTTGGCTCAGGTCATGATCCTGGGGTCCTGGGATTGAGCCCCACATTGGGCTCCCTGCTCGGCGGGAAGCCTGTTTCTCCCTCTCCCACTTCCCCTACTTGTGTTCCTTCTCTCGCTGTGTCTGTCTCTGTCAAATAAATAAATAAAATCTTAAAAAAAAAAAAAAAGAATGAAATAAGTACATTTATACTTATCATGAATGGAAGTATCTGATCTATTAAGTAATACAGCACATTGCAGAGCAAAAACCAGAACAGATACCAAAAACATGTAATCTCCTCCTCCGCTTAACCATTAGTTTATCTATTTGTGCATAGAAAAGGTCTGGAGAGGGGGGTGGGGGGATGGGTTAGCCCGGTGATGGGTATTAAGGAGGGCATGTACTGCATGGAGCACTGGGTGTTATACGAAGACAGTGAATCATGGAACACTACATCAAAAACCAATGATGTTGGGGCGCCTGGGTGGCTCAGTCGTTAAGCGTCTGCCTTCGGCTCAGGCCGTGATCCCAGTGTCCTGGGATTGAGCCCCGCATCGGGCTCCAGCCCCGCATCGGGCTCCAGCCCCGCATCGGGTTCCCTGCTTGGCGGGAGGCCTGCTTCTCCCTCTCCTGCTCCCCCTGCTTGTGTTCCCTCTCTCGCTGTGTCTCTCTCTGTCAAATAAATAAATAAAATCTTCAAAAACAAAAAACAAAAAGCAAATGATGTACTGTATGGTGACTAACATAACACAATAAAATTAAATTAAATTAAAAAAAAAAAAAAGAAAAGGTCTGGAGGGGCCACAGCCTACTGTTAGGAGTCATTATTCCTTAGGAGTGGAAGTATGGGGCGATAGACATTTACTTTTCACCTGTGATGCTTTCCTGTTGTCTGAACTTTTAATAATAAGCATTCATTACTTTTATAATTTCCAACAAAACAGAAGAGAGTTTTTTGTCTCCCAAAGCCTTAATTTTCATTAATTGAACCAAGACATTATGTATTTTTCCCTCAGTATGTCTGGACCTGTTTTTACTTTTTAGTCAGTACTGCCTTTTGGGGGTAATGAAATCCATCAATTACTGCTGGTTTTTGTAGGGAAAGACTTCCTTTTCTTCATCATTATAATGATTTCATTTCCTACAGTACCTGAGGGAGTCCTGCTTGCAGTAACCCTGATGTGAACCCCCACCTCTAAGCTTCCTGTTCTAAAACTTCTAGTCTCTCACTTGGTAGCCAGGAAGTCAGCTCCACTTGTGTAGACCAATGTGTTCTTAATTTCACATTTATTTCTTGTTTGGAATCTCTGAACCTTGGACAAATTAATTTTTTCCGCCACCCTGCAGGTATTTTAATCAGAAAGTGTTTGAAGGGCAGAAAGGTTGTTGTCTTTTGTACCTTCAGTTTTCAAATTTGAAAAGTAATTACATGAATACTAGCCAATGCAAATGTAGAAACATATAAAGATAGATAATCACCACAAATCCCATACCCAGAGATAATATCACTAACATGTGATTGATATCTTTCTAGTTATCTCTTTGTGCTTTGTCTCTCTCATAACTAGACTCATACACATACATCTGGAATGTGGTATATATATTAACATAAAGGGACCACAACATATGTTTTCTCCCACAGTCTCTTTTTACTTAACTAATATGTCATGGACATCTTTTCACATCAATATAGATCCACATCCTTATTTTTTTTTTAAGATTTATTTATTTATTTTAGAGAGCAAAAGAGGGAGCATTCATATGAGTAGGGGGCAGGGGCAGAGGGAGAGAATCATTAAGTGGACTGCTGGCTGAACATGGAGCCCAGCAGGGCAGCAGAGGTGTGGGACTCCATCCCAGGACCCAGGAGATCATGACCTGAGCCAAAACCAAGAGTCAGATGCTTAACCGACTCAGCCACCCAGGTGCCCCATCCACATCCTTATTTTTAATAGCTGTATGGAATTTAATTGCATAAATATTTAACCAGCCTTTTGTTGATGGGCATTTAGGTTGTTTCTAATTCTTTGCTCCTATAAATGGTACTGCAGTGAAGATCATTTTATGTGCATTTGTCCTTAGGATAAATTCCTAGAAGTGGAATTCTTGAATCAGAGAATTTTCATGTTCAAAATTTTGAAAGCTCTTTATTGTTAAACTATTTTCAATAAAGCTTATAAAAATGGACTGTTCACGAATTTTAAGATTATTTATTTATTTATTTATTTGAGACAGAGAGAATGAGAGAGACAGAGAGCACATGAGAGGGGGGAGGGTCAGAGGGAGAAGCAGGCTCCCCGCCGAGCAGGGAGCCCGATGCGGGACTCGATCCCGGGACTCCAGGATCATGACCTGAGCCGAAGACAGTCGCTTAACCAACTGAGCCACCCAGGCGCCCTGTTCACGAATTTTAGATTAGACTGATTCTTCATGCTCCACCAATAGTAGATAGTTATTTTTTTTAAATCTTTGCAATCTTATAGATAAATTATTTATAATTTTCATTTTATTTCGTTTGATGTCTAGTGAGTTTAAGTGTCTGCCATCTGTGTATTGGCCGTTTAAATGTCTTTTTTGATTTGCCTGTTCTTCTTTTGCCCATTTTTGATACATCACTTACTTATTTCTTATAGAAACAATTTGCTCTGTAATGGGCTCAGCCTGAAATCACTTGCTGAGACGGTTTTGAACTTTCCACTTGACAAGTCCCTTCTGCTTCGTTGTAGCAACTGGGATGCTGAGAATCTTACTGAGGACCAGGTACTTCTTATCAGAGTAGTTGAAGAATGGAAGAGCCATTGCTTATGAAGTATAGTTCTTGTAATTGTAATCTTCAAATATAAGTATTGGGGGGAAATACTTGAAAAGAGACTCACTGAAGATAACTGGTTTGTAAATGGTACTTAAGTAACAGTAAGAGTCCCTACTGTGTTTTATATTTTGAGCATTTACTATATGCCAGGTATTTCAGAAAATGTAATTGTTTAATTATGAATACAAATGCATAATTAGAAAACCAAAGTGTTATAAGACATTGTAAGAAACAGTGTCTTCCTCCCACTCAGTGGCAACCAATTTCATTTCTTCCTGGTAATTACCATTATATATTTAAATTACATGCATATATTACTCTTTCTTATTTTTTAAATTATCTTTCGACTTCTTACAGTGGAAGACATGATTTAATATTCTTGTAACTCCTCTGTCCCCAAATACTTTTTCCCTTCCCCATCTTCCCAGTATAGCTAAATCATCATTTTTATCAGATTAATATCTACTTATATTGATATTATTTTAGCTGAGCCACATAGTAAGCTACAGTTAAGTTTTTTTTTTATACAACTTTTTGTTTTCCTAGGAGTAATAATTTGTACTTTTGTTTGCTTTGTTTTCTATATACCTATTAACTGTTTCAAGCCTGGACTCTTTAATGGAACCCTACATCTTTTCTTGGCCGGTTCTGACACATGAGGTGACTTACGCCTTTTGTTTTCCCTTGGAGCTGTCCCTTCCAGACAGAACCCTTTGTCATCCTGCTTCTTTCCAAGAGCCCTGCTGCCCATCTCTGACCCTGGAATCTGCATTTACCCTCAGCCTAGGGAGTCCCTTCACCTTTCTTCTGGAGTAGATCCTCTGTCTTTCAAATTCCATGTCTTTTCCCTTCCTTTTCTTGGAGTACATTCAGAAAGGGAGCATAGGAAATTAATTTATGATACCCTACATGTCTGAAAAGATATTGGCTTCACTGTCTATGAACTGATACTTTCACTGAGTACAGCAGTTTAGGGTGAAAATCATTTTCCTTCAGAATTTCAAAGGTAATGTTCCCTGTCTTAGAGCTTCCAGTATTGATACTGAGCATGTCACTTGTTTTCCTTTCTGGAGAATCTTCATTTTATTCTTAGTTCTTTCTTTTTTTAAAGATTTTATTTATTTATTTGACAGAGAGAGACACAGCAAGAGAGGGAACACAAGTAGGGGGAGTGGGAGAGGGAGAAGCAGGCTCCCCACCGAGCAGGGAGCCCGATGCAGGGCTCAATCCCAGGACCCTGGGATCATGACCTGAGCTGAAGGCAGACACTTAACGACTGAGCCACCCAGGCGCCCCTATTCTTAGTTCCTAAAATTCAAGATGATATACGTTAGTGTGGGCTATTTTTCATTTTAGTATTAGAAGCCAGTGGGCCCTTTCAATCTGGAAGCTCATGTCTTTTAGTTCAGATTATTATTCTCATAATATTTCTTTGAAAATTTCCCTCCCTTTTTTCTCTAGAACTCATATTATTTGGATATTGGACCCCCTTGAATTGATCCTCTGATTTCCTAGGAAAAATATTTTCTCCCTGATTTTTCTATCTCTATATGTTTTGTTTTACCTTCTGGGAAATTTCCTTAAGTTTATCTTCTAACATTTCTATTGAATTTTTAATTATTCCTGTCATAATTTTAAGTGACAAGAGATTCTTGGTCTCCTCTGAATATTCACTTTTAAAATTACTTTGTTTTTGTGTAATAGATACAGTATCTTCTGTTATCTTAGAGTATTAAAGATTTCTGAGGTTTTCTTCTTCCTGTATTGCTTCATTTTCCTCTGAGTTCCTTATTTGTTGATTGGGTCCATCAACTGTTGAATGAATAAGTAAAATGTGGTATAGCCTTATAATGGAATATTATTCAGAAATAAAAAGGACACATGGTACAACATGGATGCATCTTGAAAACATTATGCTAAGTGAAAGAAGCTAGTTGTAAAATATCATATCAGATTCTATTTTTATGAAATGTTCAGAATATATAAATCTGTAGAGACAACAGAAATTAATGGTTGCCTAGGGCTGAAAGAAGTAGAGGATGACTGCTAAAGGGAATAAGGTTTCTTTTTGAGGTGGTGGAAGTGTTTTAATATTGATTGTGGTGATGGGCTATGCAATTCTATAAGCTTACTAAAAATCCAGAATCTTGCACCATCTGAAAAGACATGTTTGGAACAATTGAAGACATTCCAGTAGAACTGTGTATTATTGTACTTTGTCACTTTTAAAGTTCTTGGGTGTGGTAATGGTGAGGTCATGTAGAAGAATGTCCTTGTTCTTAAGAAGTACATGCTGATGCATTTAGAGATGAAGTATCATAATAGCTGCAACTTAATTTTGAAATGTGTTCAGGTACAAAAAAGTGTGTGGTGTCCATATTATAAAGAGATAAAGCAAGTATTGACAGTTGTGAATGTCAGTTGGCATTATTATTCTTTTAACTTTTCTGTAGGTTTGAAAACTTTTAAAATAAAAAGTTGGGGAGGAGAAGTTAATTGCTACCAAATTTGAAGCCAAATTTGTGATCCTTATTATTGTGAGAATTCAGAATTTCCAAAGACTCTTATTCATTCTTTTTTTAAAAATTTTTTAAGTTTATTTATTTTCTTTAGTAACCTCTACACCCACATGCGACTCGAACTCGCAATCCCAAGATCAAGGGTTGCACGCTCTTCCTACTGAGCCATCTAGGCGCCCCTGTTCATTCTTTATTTCAATATTTTGTTCTAATTATAAACATAAAGCTTAATGAGATTTTAGAAGATACAGAAAATGATATTTAAATTTGAATTTTAAGAAATGGATTGAGAACATAGCAAATATAGCCAGGGCTTTTGGACCAGTGGGCTTTATTATCAGTACCTATAGATCATAGTCACATGTCAGTAACTGAAACTCTTTTTTCTCAGGCTACTCAGTTTCTCCAGAGATGAATCTTCTAGTTTTCTGCCTAAGAGGTATAAGCCCCTTTGCTTATATTCTGGTTGCTGAGTGGGGAAAGGTATTGGTAGTTTCACCAATCCATATGTACACTTTCCCATAGTCCCTTTCTCAGGTGACACTTTGCCCCGCCATGCCAGGCCTGGTGTTATTAGATCCAGATCCTCTGTGAGTTAGCCATTATATGACTTAAACTTTTACTTTTTGGGGGGTTAGAGAAGGAGTTATTGCCAGCCCTGTGGTATAAAGGAGAAGGTCTAGGGTTCTAAGTGTTCTTTATGAAGGCTTTCACCTTATCTTCTTGTTTTCACCCCTACTTGTACTTACTTTCACAGATACCTGGTGCTTCCCATTCCTAATGCTTTGCCATTCTCTGTGGCTCAAATTAACTTGATTCTTGGATTTTTGGCTTACCGCCCCCGTAGGCCTAGATTTTAGCCTTCTCTTGTTCTTCCTTCCAAAATGTTGTTATTGGAAAGATTTAGCTGATATCTTCAGGTTAACATTATCCTGTGAGAGAGTTTGGGAGTCAAATTATCTGAATTTGTTTTCTGCAGCTATTTCTGACTTTCTGTGACCCTAAGTAAGTCACTTTGTGCCTTGGTTCCTTTCTTTCTTTTTTTAACAGTTTTATTGCAGTATCACTTACATACAATATAATTCAGGCATTTAAAGTATACAAATTGGGGCACCTGGCTGGCCCATTCTGTAGAGCATGTGACTCATAATCTCAGGGTTGTGAGTTCAAGCCCCATGTTGGACATGGAGCCTACTTAAAAAAAATAATAAAGTGTAAAAATCAGTGGATTTTAGTATTTTTATAGAGTTGTGCAACCATCACCACTATCTAATTTTAGAACATTTTTATTACCCCAAAAAGAAACTCCATACTGATTAGCAGTCACTTCCCATCCTACAGTCACATTCCATCCCCCCCACAACACCCTAACACTAGGCAACCACTAATCTACCTTTTTGTCTTTATACATTTGTCTATTTTGGACATTTCATATAAATGGAATCATACAATATATGGTCTTTTGTGATTGGCTTCTTAATTTTGCATGTTTTTGTGGTTCATTCATGTTATAACATTTATTGGGACTTAATTTCTTCTTATTGCTATGCAATACTCCATTATATGGTTATACTACATTTTGTTTATCCATTCATCAGTTGGTAGAGATTTGGATGGCTTTCATTTTTTGGCTGTTATGAAGAATGCCACTATGAATATTTGTGTATAAAATTTTGTGTGGACATATGTCATATGTTTTTACTTATCTTGGGTATATACCTAGGAGTGGAATTGCTGGGTCATAAACTTTATGTTTAATTGTTTAAGGAACTGCCAGACTGTTTGCAGAGTAGCTGTACCATTTTATATTCTTACCGGCAAAGTATGAAGGTTCCAATTTTCCACATCCTCACCAACACTTGTTACTGTCTATCTTTTTGATTAGAGCCATACCAGTAGGTATGAAATGGTATTTCATTGTGGTTTTGATTTACATTTCCCTGGTGGCTAATGATGCTGAACATCTTTTCATGTGCTTGTTGGCTATTTGTATATTTTCTTTGGAGAGGCATCTATTCAAATCCTTTGCTCGTATTTTAATTGAGTTGTTTTTATATTGTTGACTTTTAAGAGTTCTTTATATATTTTGGATACTAGTCCCTTATTAGATATATAATGTGTAAATATTTCCTCCCATTCTTCAGGTGGTCTTTTCACTTACTTGGTTGAGGTCACCATTTGAAGCAAAAAGGGTTTTAATTTTGATGATGCCCAGTTAATATATTTTTTTGCTTATCACTTATGCTTTTGGTGTTGTATCCAAGAAATCATTGCCTACTCCAAGGTCATGAACATTTACTGCGATGTTTTCCTTTACAAGTCTTAGGTTTTAGCTCTTACATTTATGTTTATGATCCATTTTGAGTTAATTTTTGTGTGTGATGTGAGGTAGGGGTCCAATTTTATTCTTTTACATGTGGTCATCCAGTTGTCTCAACAGTATCTGTTGAAAGTGCCTTGGTTTCCTTAACAGTTTGTTAAAAAGCACTTTATTTTTTTTTAAAGATTTTATTTATTTATTTGAGAGAGAGTGAGAGAGAGAATGAGTGGGAGGAGGGGCAGAGGGAGAAGGAGAAGCAGACTCCCCACTGAGCAGGGAGCCTGACACAGGGCTCGATCCCAGGACCCGGGGATCACGACCTGAGCTGAAGGCAGACATTTAACCAACTGAACCACCCAGGCGCCCCTAAAAAGCACTTTAAACTCTTAACATTCAAGCACACTTTTCCTGTGGGAGACAACCTGCTGGTAGATGTATAGATTGTTGAGTCTAGGAAGATTTTATCCAAACCTATTCTATTCTAAAAAGCATAAAAAATCCTTCCTAATAGTATTACTTACCAGGCTTGGTTACTACAGATAAATTAAAGGAATTTTAAAGTCTTTACTTCCTTTGTTGGGAAAAGCTATTAATGATAGTTTTGGCTACTTTTATTTATGACCAGCTTTTCCATCACCAGTGGCTTGGGAGGGTGGCTTACCATTATTAAATAAATAAATTCCAGAAATGAGCCCTTGTGACTTTTGATTTGAGGCCCATGCTTGAAACCCATGCTTGTTTTCCACATCTTAATGGCAGGTTGTTTCTGATTGAAAGTCACACAGCCCTCTCAGTAAATCTTGTTTTCAGGTGTTCTAGATCATGGCCACCTCCAAAGTGAATTTCATGTACTAGTTGTCAAACTTGTGGTGACTACACTCACCCAAACTTGAGAAAAATCTGTCTATCAGGTTTGGTAACAGATAGAAAGAAACTTCACTGGGTTTATATAGGTTAGGATTTTTGAGTATTCAGAGTAAGTCATTATTTTAACATAGACAAGAAACATGAAGATTGATTATACTATTCAGTTTACTTTTGTATAGTGTGAAATAGTTCATCATAAAAGGCTTTTAAGAAGTACATGGTGCACGGGGCACCTTGGTGGCTCAGTCGTTGAGCGTCTGCCTTCGGCTCGGGTCGTGATCCCGGGGTCCTGGGATCGAGCCCTGCATGGGGCTCCCTGCTCCGCGGGAGGCCTGCTTCTCCCCCTCCCACTCTCCCTGCTTGTGTTCCCTCTCTTGCTGTGTCTCTCTCTGTCAAATGAATAAATAAAATCTTTAAAAAAAAAAAAAAAAGAAGTACATGGTGCTTAGGGTATTGTACATCTTGAATTAGAATCCTGAAAGTTGTCTGCATCTTTGTGATTGACTTGGAAATTGCACTTTCTGGTTTGCCTTCCAGATTCCACTGATCTCTGACTTTTCTCTTCAGGTGATTTATGCTGCCAGGGATGCCCAGATTTCAGTGGCTCTCTTTCTCCGTCTTCTTGGATACCCTTTCTCTAGGAATTCAACTCTAGATGAAAACGATGACCACATGGGCTGGAGAAAAGTCTTGGAAAATTGCCAGGATGTGGTAGACATCCCATTCCGAAGCAAAGGATTCAGCCGACTTGGGGAAGAGGTTAATGGGGAAGCAGCAGAAGCTCAGCAGAAGCCAAGACATAAGAAGTCTAAGACAGATGGAATGATGGCAGGCAACCACCAAGGGAGAGATCCCAGAAAGCATAAAAGAAAGCCCCTGGGGGTGGGCTATTCGGCCAGGTAACTGAGTTGTTCTCTGTCTGGTAGAGAGGCTCAGAGGCCCAGCCTCCAGCAAAAGGCATGATGCTTCATCTTGGGTCTGGGGAGAAGGTTGTGTGGTAGGGTAGCAGGTGCTCCAGGGGTTAAATTTTTTTCCCCCAGAGGTTAATTTTATTTTTTCCTTTCCTTCAAGGACATTTGGAGCTATCCTTTGATCTATTTGTGTATTTTCCTCCTTTTCCCCTTCTTTTACTTTGTAATTTTTAGAATTGAGTGGATATAAGGAGAGCTTACCCTAGCTTTGTCACTGATCCTGATATGACCTGAGCCTTGTAACTTCTCTAGTTATAAATGAGGGTATAATTATTACTCCTTGCTTGCTCAGGATAGCTGCGAAAATGAATAACATGAATTTTCCTCATACATTTCAGGAGAAATGCATCATCTGATTTCCTGCTCATTTGGTATTTGATTATTTAGAAAGGCATCCAGCTCTAAGCCAGTATCATTCTCTAACCAGTGAGAGTTTTTCTGTACGACTTATGCCTCTGTTGCAAAAAGATGACTAATAAGTACTTTGGAGTGGAAGTTTGGTCCCCGTAGCAGAGTGCCTTTAGGAATTGGATGATTAAATTGAAGCAAGTATTGCGTATGAGCCAGAAATAAACCCATGTGGCCCTCATTACTTTAGCTTGAAGTTCTTTAATTTTGATTGACTTTGTTTAACCCAATGATTACTCTGTAGAGCAGTTTTCTTAGTGCTTTGCTCCTGTTCGCTTTCACATCAGAGCTGTGTGTATATACTACCCAACTCACTCCTTGTTCCATAAATACAAGAACTAGATACATGAATTCATTTTTAGTTCCTAGCCCATGCAGTTGGAGAAACAGACATGATTTTTTTTTTTGCCCTATTTGTTTTTTCCCATAAATATAATGTTTGACCCTAGTGTTGAGAATAGCTGGAGTCACTCAGAAGACAACATGGGAGGGGCGACTGGGTGGCTGTCAGTTAAGCGTCTGCCTTCGGCTCACGTCATGTGGGATCGAGCCCCGCATTGGGCTCCCTGCTCAGCAGAGAGCCTACTTCTCCGTCTCCCTCTGCTACTCTCCCTGCTTGTGTGCTCTTTCTCAATCTCTCTCTGCCAAATAAATAAATAAAATCTTAAAAAAAAAAAAAAGACAACATGGGAGGCAACGGATACCTTGGCCCAGAGCTAGCTTCCAGTTTTAGATTAATCTCTCCTTTCCCTGCAGAAAATCACCCCTTTATGATAACTGCTTCCTCCATGCTCCTGATGGACAGCCCCTCTGCACTTGTGACCGAAGGAAAGCTCAGTGGTACCTGGACAAAGGCATTGGAGGTGTGAGACTTACCTGTCCTGTTTCATCTACATTTAGGTGCACGTGGGTACTGGCAGGAGTGGAGAGAGAGACAAGGGACAGGGAGGGATAGAAGAAGGCAGAACGACCTTGACACAAGTGGGACGTGGCTATTCAGAAGCAAGAAATCATGATCTCTGCCAGGACACTGCAGAGAACATTTCAGGTGGGGCTTCTTTCCTGAGGGACAGGTGGGCAAACACTGACCTCTTATCTTTTCTCTAAGAGCTGGTGAGTGAGGAGCCTTTTGTGGTCAAGCTACAGTTTGAACCTGCAGGAAGACCCGAATCTCCAGGAGACTATTACTTGATGGTTAAAGAGAACCTGTGTGTAGTCTGTGGCAAGAAAGACTCATACATTCGGTGAGTGTGGGGTTGGGCCGCCCAGACTCTGCCTCTGATGGAAACTGCCTTTGTAGCCACATGTGGAGCTCTCAGGTCTTGGTTGAATCTGCCAACTTTGGCTGAGACTTGTCTGTAGGGGTCATCCCAGTTTTCCTGAGAACTTCTCCCCTCTGTGTGGTCCTGCTGTCGTGCTCTCCTGCCTATCCTGAGCCCTGTTCTTGGTTTTAAGAATGCAGTACTCTTCTTAGTAAGTTTGCCATAAAGAGAGTGGTTCCCCTTTGCTCATAAAAGACTGGGGACCCATTTCCTTCAGAAGCTGCCTTTCTCTTTGTGTCCTTATAATCTTCCCATGAGTGGCTCACAACTTTCTGAGCCTTGATACTGTTCATGGAGTGCAGGCATACCTAGGCATATCTCAGAGGTATTGCAGGTCTGTTCCCAGCACACCATCATAAAGCAAATACCGCAATAAAGTGAGTGAGTCAGGGGTGCCTGGCCGGCTTAGTTGGTGGGGCGTGCGATTCTTGATCTTGGGGTTGTAAGTTCGAGGCCCACGTTGGATGTTGAGATTACTTAAAAATAAAATCTTTAGGGGTGCCTGGGTGGCTCAGTCAGTTAAATGGCCAACTCTTGATTTCAGCTCAGGACATGATCTTAGGGTCATGAGATCAAGCCACATTGGGGTCCATGCTGGGCATGGAGCCTGCTTAAGATTCTCTCTCTCCCTCTGCTCCTACCCACCCCCACTCACACCCTGTCTCTTTCTGAATAAATAAATAAATAAATAAAATCTTAAAAAAACCAATGTGAGTCAAATGAATTTTCTGGTTTTCCCAGTCATTTAAAAATTACGTTTACACTATACTGTAGATTGTTAGTTATGCAGTAATGTTATATCTAAAAAAACAAATGTATATACTTTCTTTTTTTTTTTTTTTTAAGATTTTATTTATTTATTTGACAGAGACATGGCGAGAGAGGGAACACAAGCAGGGGGTGTGGGAGAGGGAGAAGCAGGCTTCCCGCTGAGCAGGGAGCCCGATGCGGGGCTCGATCCCAGGACCCTGGGATCATGACCTGAGCCGAAGGCAGACGCTTAACGACTGAGCCACCCAGGCGCCCCGCAATGTATATACTTTCATTTAAAAATACTTTATTGCTGGGGTGCCTGGCTGGCTCAATTGGTTAAGCATCCGACTCTTGATTTTGGCTCAAGTCATGATCTCAAGGTCGTGAGATCCAGCCCTGCGTCAGGTTCTGTGCTGAGTGTGGAGCCTGCTTGAGCTTCTCTCTCTCCATCTCCTTCTGCCCCTCCCCCCCTGCTCACTCTCTCTATATAAAACACAAAACAAAAACCTTTATTGCTGGAGCACCTGTCTGGCTCAGCCAGTAGAGGATGTGACTCTTGATTCTTGGGGTCATGAATTCGAGCCACATGTTGGGTGTAGAGATTACTTTAAAAATAAATAATTAATGAATAAAAATACTCTATTGCTAAAAAATGCTCACCACATCTGAGCTTTTAGTGAGCCGTAATCTTTTTTCTGGGGGAGGTTATTGCCATGATGTTGACAGTTGCTGACTGATCAGGGTGGTGGCTGTGGCAGTTTCTTAAAATAAGACAACAGTGAAGTTTGCTGCAGTCGATTAACTCTTCATGAATGATTACTCTGTAGCATGTGATGTTGTTTGATAGCATTTCACCCATAGCAGAACTTCTTCCAAAATGGAGTTAGTCCTCTCAAATTTTACCATGGCCTAGTCAACTAAGTTTATGTAGTATTTTAAATCCATTGTTGTCATTTCAACAAGCTTCACAGCCTCTTCACCAGGAGTAGATCCCATCTCAAGAAACCTCTTTCTTTGCTCATTCAACAAGAAGCAACTCCTCATCCTTTTAAGTTTTATCATGAGATAAAACAATGGCTGCAATTCAGTCCCATCTTCAGGCTCCACTTCTAATTCCGATTCTCTTGCTGTTTCCCACCACATCTGCAGTTACTTCCTCCACCAAAGTCTTAAACCCCTCAAAGTCATCCATGAGGGCTAGAGACTCCTGTTAATTAATGTTGGTATTTTGACCTCTTCCCATGAATCATGAATGTTCTTCATGGCGTCTAGAATGGTGAATCCTTTCCGGAAGGTTTTCAGTTTACTTTGCCCAGATCCATTAGAGGAATCTCTATTTATGGTAGCTATAGCCTTATGAAATGTATTTCTTAAATAATAAGACTTAAAAATCAAAATTACTGCTTGATCCACAGGCTGCAGAATAGATGTCGTGTTAGCAGACCTGAAAAGAACATTAATCTCGTATATCTATCAGAGTTCTTGGGTGACCAGTTACACTATCAATGAGCAGTAATATTTTATTTTTTAAAGATTTTATTTTTATTTATTTGAGAAAGAGCACAGAAGCATGAGCGGGGGCTGAGGGACACAGGGAGAGGGACAAGCAGACTCTCCACTGAGGAGGGAGCCTGATGTGGGGCTCAGTCCCAGGACCCTGGGATCATGACCTGAGCCAAAGGTAGACCCTCAGCTGACTGAGCCACCCAGGCACCCCCAGCAGTAATATTTTAAAAGGAATTTTGTGTGTTTTTTTTCCTGCCTAGTAGTCCCAACAGTGGGATTAAAATATTCAGTAAACCATGTGGTAAACAGATATGCTCTCATCCAGGCTTTGTCGTTCCATTTAGAGAGCACAGGCAGAGTAGATTTAGCATAATTCTGAAGGGCTCTGGGATTTTTGGAATGGTCCATGAGCATTGGCTTCCACTGAAAGTCACCAGCTGCATTAGTCCCAAATAAGAGAGTCAGCCTGGCTTTTGAAGTTTTGAAGCCAGGCATTGACTTCTCCTCTTTAGCTATGAAAATCCTAGATGGCATCTTCTTGCAGTCGAAGGCTGTTTCATCCACAGTGAAAATCTGCTGTTAAGTGTAGCCACCTTCGTTAATGATCTTAGCTAGATCTTCTGCATAACTCACTGCAGCTTCTACATCAGCCCTTGGGGCTTCATCTTGTACTTTGATGTTTAGGGAGATGGTTTCTTCCCTTAAACTTCATGAACCAACTCAGCTAGCTTCAGACTTTTCTTCTGCAGCTTCCTCACCTGTTTCAGCCTTCACAGAATTGAAGAGAGTTAGGGCCTTGCTCTGGATTAGGCTTTGGCTTAAGATAACCGAATGGCTGGTTTGGTCTTCTGTCCAGACCACTAACCTTTCTCCATGTCAGCAGTAAGACTGTTTGGTTTGCATAGCATTTATGTGTTCACTGGAGCAGCACTTTTAATTGCCTTCAAGGACTTCTCCTGTGCAGTCACAACTTAGCTAACTGCAGCAGGAGGCCTAGCTTTTGGTCTGTCTTGGCTTTCGACCTGCCTTCCTCACTAAATGTAATCATTTCTAGCTTTTGATTTAAAGTGGGAGACATGCCTCTCTTCTTTTCACCTGAACACTTAGAGGTCATTGTAGTAGGTTATTAACTGGCCTGATATCAATATCATTGCATCTCAAGGAGTAAGGAGGCCCGAGGAAAGGGAGAGCGACACAGGAATGGCCGGTTGGTGAGGCAGTCAGAACACACACATTTATCTATTGAGTGCGCGGTCTTATGTGGGCGTGGTTCATGGCCTCCCAAAACAATTACTATAGTGACACCTAGGATAGTGATCACAGATCAGCATAACAAATATAGTAATAATGAAAAAGTTTGAAATGTTGGGAGAATTATCAAAATGTGACACAGAGACACAAAGTGAACAAATGCTGTTGGAAAAAAAAACGGGGCCAATAGACTTGCTTGATGCAGAGTTGCCACAGACTTTCAATTTGTAAAAAATGCAATATCTGCAAAGTGCGGTAAAATGAGGTATGCCTGTATTCGGAGACCTGAAGGCACACTTTGGCTCTACTCCCTGGCTTCAGTGGAGTAACTCACTTTCCTGCTCTCCTCTTACAAAGTGAAACAAATAGTTGTGAATGCCAAGAGTTTTTCCTGAGAGCTCAGTTCTCCTTAGAAAAGAACGATGGGCCTTGATGAGCCACGGACATAGTCTGAGTAAGGGGTTCCTCAGATGAGGAAATTTGCTTTTTTTAGGTCACCAGGCTTCCAAAATTTCAGGAGTAGAGGGACCCGCTACATGCTTTGAGAGAGTTATCTTCCAGATGTTAAAGGTCATTAGAATTTTTTTTTAATTCTCTGATACTTTTCCTTCTGGGAGCACAGTTGTTATTAGCCTTCCCCTGCCTTGGCCCTCCGCTGACTCTTGCTAGCAGGTGGTATGAACTGGCTCCTCGGAGAGGGGAAACTAAGGCACAGCTAGGTAGGTAGGCCGAGAGTGGAAGAGGCAGTATTGCCTTTATGTAATCTCTCTTGGGTTGTGGTGCCCAAGGCTTCTCAGTCCTGTGTAGGCCCAGATGAGAATCCCAGTGGCCTGCCTTCTAGCTCCACCTGTGTTCTGTGTCCTTTGCTAACGAGCACTGCCTTCTGGGTGGGCTTGGCAGGAAGAACGTGATTCCGCATGAGTACCGGAAGCACTTCCCCATTGAGATGAAGGACCACAACTCGCACGATGTGCTTCTGCTCTGCACCTCCTGCCACGCCATCTCTAACTACTATGACAACCACCTGAAGCAGCAGCTGGCCAGGGAGTTCCAGGCCCCCATTGGCTCCGAGGAGGGTCTGCGCCTGCTGGAAGACCCCGAGCGCCGGCAGGTACGCTCTGGGGCCAGGGCCCTGCTCAACGCAGAGAGCCTGCCTGCTCATCGAAAGGAGGAGCTTTTGCAAGCACTCAGAGAGTTTTACAACACAGACACAGTCACGGATGAGATGCTTCAGGAGGCTGCCAGCCTGGAGACAAGGTACAGTGGACAGTTCTGGTCTGAGAAAGGATTGAGGAATAACGCAGTGGCATTAACCCTGACTACTTAGTGAGGGTGCTTGCCAGGAAGGGGGTAGGGCATTAGCCATTTAGGTGCAGAGCATAGCCTCTCTTCTCCCATTGAGTGTCTTAAAAGACCTTAAAATACCATAGGGCTGGGAGAGAAGAATCTGTTTGAGAATTTCCTTTCCATAGGAGACTTGCCTTCTGTCCTTGACCCTTTAGGGACATCTACGTCCAGTCGTTTTCATGATTAGCAGATGAGTTCAAATGCAGTGGAGCTGTGCCTTAGACATTCTATGCAGAAGTAAATCCTAAAGTCAGCACAGGAGATGAAAATAATACTCAAAAAATACCCTCGAGTCTCTGAAGTTGCTCATGAGTATGACATATGTGGCTTTGTGTCTTATCTTACCCAGGTCTGTGGGAACTGAGACCAATGATTGGATTCATGTTCGCTGTCTCACCTGCACTCAGGGTCCTGGCCCACCGAATAGAATATTGGCCAGAATTGCTCTTACCGTTCATATGATTTTTCTCCTTTTTCCTTCCTTCTTTGCTTTCTCTCCTTCCCCATGAGCACAGAGTTGAACTCGTGACTTAATTCAGTGTTCCTCAATGAGAAGCCGATGGTCCTGAGAAATGAATGGGTACACGGCTGAGTGAAAGAGACTGGGCCACCTGCTCTAGTTTCACTTCCCATGATCACTTTTCCAGTAGTACTAGGGCCTGATAAGTTCACAAAACTGTGAGAGTGATGCTGGTGGCCTGTACAGTTTCAAGACCCAAAAACCTTAAAGGTAGCGGCAAACATTTATCAAACAAATAGTTATAGATATCCTCATCTACTTAACCAAGCTAATAAACTTTCTATAAATTACCTTAACTGGTTCTTCTAACAACCCTATGAAATAGGATTTAGATTTCTTACTGGTAACTGCTAGCATTATGTCTTGCATTTTTTAAATATTTTGAAGTTAAAAAAACATCATCAATGAGTTTTATCCTTATAACTATTTTACGAGGTTGTAGAATAGATGTTATTTTCCAAGTTTTATGTTCGCTACCCTGAGGTTAAAGTTAAGTAACTTGCGAAGGTCTGATGAAAAATTAATGAGACTGGTTCCTTTGGCCAATTCCCAGATGTATTTGCTAAAACAACTAAACTTTCCCCTTTCAGCCACAGGCCTTTCTAACCAATCGCCTTGCTGACTTGGATAGAGGGATGCTGGACTTGGATGTCTGGGGCCGAGAAGAGTAGCTGTTTGGGGGGAGCTAGGCACATTAGTGGCACACTTGGGAGCTAAGCAGTGAAGTGGCTGCAGATCCCGAGAGGGCACTAGCACTGCTAGAATGGGGAGAGGGTATTGAGAGGGAGGAACTGAGAGTGGGGTATGGATGCAAGGAGGGGAACTGAGTCCATAGGGTAGGGGCTTCCTCAAGAAAAGTAGTCGTTACTCACAGGAGGTGAAAACACTGTTGGCAGGGCATCAGAGCACTTTTTAAGGTCTCTCTGCTTAGTTAGGAAGAAGGCAGGGATTCATCTTCCATTGAACAGCACCGGCTGCACAACTGACTATTTCATAGGACCAAAACATGTCTCTCATGGATGTGGTTTGGCATTCTTTTTTATTTTTTTTTAAAGACTGTAATTTTGAGTAATCTCTGCACCCAACATGGGGCTTGAACTCACAACCCCAAGATCAAGAGCTGCATGCTCCACTGACTGAGCCAGCCAGGCGCCCCAAGATTTTTATTTGTTGAATTTTTTTTTTTAAGTAATCTCGAGGCCCAACGTGGGGCTCGAACTCATGACTGTATGATGAAGAGTCGCATGTTCTACTGACTGAGCCAGCCAGGCGCCCCCATCTTTTTTTATTTATATTTTTTTTAAATTGAAGCGTCGTTGACACAGTCACAGAATGTTACATTAGTTTCAGGTGTACAACAGGGATCCACCAAGTCCACGTGATGTGCTGTGCTCACCACGGGTGGAGCTCCCGTCTGTCACCACAGAATGCTATCACCATACCACTGACTGGACTGCCTGTGCCGGCCGGCTTGGCATTCTTTCTGGGAGGAAGGAGGCACTAAAGAAATGTCCCACCTTGCATTTTACGTGTAAGTGTTCCAGTGTTTGAGACATTGGAACATGTGGGGTGATGTAACAGCCCCATATAGGTACTAAGTATGGTTGAGAATGAATACCTTAAAAGAAGGGCGGGCTGGAACCTGAGTAACCCTGGAGGAAATAAAAGACCAATGACATTCTTCACTCATTGTCAGCCAGACAGTATGGCCCCTGGAGTGGGGGCTGAGCAGCCTGCAGCGGCCTTCCCACAAATACAGCTCAGAATCCCCAAACACCTTTCTGTTGGACTGTGTGCAGTATGTCCAAACTACTTCTTTAAAAAGGCAGATGTAGGAAAGATGCTTTAAAAACAAAGTAGGGGGCGCCTGGGTGGCTCAGTCCGTTAAGCGTCTGCCTTCGGCTCAGGTCATAGTCTCAGGGTCCTGGGAGCGAGCCCCTGCTCAGCGGGGAGTCCGCTTCTCCCTCTGCCCCTCCCCCCTCCTGCCCGTGCTCTCTCTCTCTCTCTCAAGTAAATAAATAAAATATATATATTTTTTAAGCATTAATGTAATCAACCCTTTAGAAGTCTAGCCACCTCCTCATCTGCCCTGTGGAAGCCCCGTGGCCCGTAGCATTTAGAGCCATCTGTGCCACCATGCCGTGCTTGCCCCCCTCAGACCCCTGTACTTTGTGTCTTGCCAGGATTTCCAACGAAAACTACGTCCCCCACGGGCTGAGGGTGGTGCGGTGCCACAGCCGGGGCGGGCTGCGCTCCCTCATGCAGCTGGAGAGCCGCTGGCGTCAGCACTTCCTGGACTCCATGCAGCCCAGGCACCTGCCCCAGCAGTGGTCCGTGGACCACAACCATCAGAAGCTGCTGCGGAGATACGGGGAAGACCTTCCCATCAAGCTGTCGTGACAGCCGCTCTCTTCCCAGGTGAGGACGGCCAGGAAGCTGAGCCAAGGCGGGAAAGTCACCTCTTCCCGTGTCATTGATTGTCAGAGCCCAGTGTCACAGCGTGGAATGCTAACCCACGCAGATCCCAGGATGCTTCTGGTGGAGCCAGGCTGTTGCTCCAAGGGGAGCGTATGGTTGTGGATTTTAGTTGGGCAGGGTGAGAATTCTTTTTGCCTCCCTCTTATTTTATTTTCGTGGACAAAAGGGCCTTGGCCTTTATTTTGCTTTCCTTCTTTTGCTTTCCCTGTGCAGACAGCAAATGAAGGATTCTCCCCTGAGGTGACTTGTCAAGGTGCTCAGGTTTTTAATACATTTCTTCCCTGCCCAGTATGTTGGTTTTTCTCAAACAGGGGCAGCCAAGTATTTTAATCCCATTGGGTGAGGACGGGAGAAAACTTACTTGCAGAGGTTGGAGAGGTGAACAAGGAGTCAGATTCATTTTCCCGGTTCAAGCTCATAATTGTAAATTCCTTGGCTTCATGCTCTCCCACAACTCACCTGGTTGAGATCCATCCCATCTAGGTCACTTCAGTTTATTTCCATACTTGAGAATGTCCCCCTTTACACGTCCAGGACCAAAGCAGCGACTTCCTGCCATATGCTTCCACCCTAACACTGGAGGAAATCCTTTTCTGGAAATAGGCCTTCTAACTGGGTGGGGCCGAGAGAAGTACAAGCACCATCTCTCAAGAAAACTTTGATATTTGCTCCGCGTTCCCTTTCATTGTCTGTTCGTTGCAATCCTCCTGTCCAGAAGTGCAGGGTTTTTAGCTGAATCCCTTTCTGAGAGGAAGATTCTCTTCTTTCAGAATCAGTGTCAGGTCCCTTCCGGGTTCTGTGTTCCTTCAGATTTGTAATACTGACCTGGTTTCAACACTTCATTGTCTCTTGGAGTCCTTTGGTTAGATTGCATTGTGAGGATTTCTCCACCTGCTCTCATGCCTGGGACTCTGAGATTAATTCATATATTTAGATGTTCAAAACGGTGATGTTTCATCTCTTTATGTGAAGCCACCACTTTGAGCATGAAAGCAAGTTATTAGTGATTAGTATTTTTTCTCAAGTATGAGGAGAGCTTTTTTACAAGATGGCTAACAAACAATTTTATGGCCAGAATCCAACAGGAGCTGTTTTGAAATTGTGCCCAAGTTGGTGATGGTTTGCTCTAACACTGATAAATAAAACTTCTTCTAAGCACAAAGTTCACTGATTGTAAATGTAACACTTTTTTCTTCACAGCTTTATAAAATCAGTAACTGTTCTTGGGGGAGGAGATAGTCATCCCTCAGGTCCCTGCCGTGTGGCAGTGGCGTGACGTGCGTGCAGACATACCATGCACAGCGCAGCTTCAGCCCATCAGCGAATGGTCCGGAAACGAAGGTGCATTTTGTTCTTACGCCCCTTCATTCCCTCTTGTCCTCAAACAGGCATTTCTGGGCCCTAAACTTAGAGATCCTTGAAAATGAATAGTACCAGCCGCCTTAGGGACCATATGTTCAGTGGGGTAGGTTATTGTGGGCGTGTGCCTCAGTGACTGGACCCCATGCTCTGGAGTCCAGGGGTGAACCTTGGAGACTGAAGGGTGGTCGTTAGAGTAGTCAGGCTTGCCACAAGGTGGCACTCACAGATTTTGTTTTATATTCATTCTTGAGAAATAGGGCTTTTATATATGGTTCCTGAACATAACTGGTGACTTATATTTCCAAATCTGTGTAGCTGATTTTGGGTCATTTGGATAGGGTTACAAGAAAACTTCCTCTGAAACAGGGAGTAGGGTGCTTTCATTCTCTTTCCCCGTGATCCTCATGCTAAGAGGGGAGAAGCACGTACGAGCTTATGTAAAGGTGCAGTGGGTTACTGTGGGAAGAAGGAATGGATTCCCCAACAGAGCTTCCTGCAAGGCCCAGTAACAGAGCCAGCAGCCACCGTAGAGAAAGAAGCTAGACTGGCACATGAGATTTCTCACCCTTCTCAGAAGTTACTGTGTAGATTTGACTTTCTCTGAGTCAGCCTTTAGCACCCTTTCCTCAAGACTGACAATGGTGACCTCAAATGAGATATTTTAGGGAAGGCATATTATAAAAGAGCTAATTATTGTGTTTTGCCGATAGGAAAAAAAAAAAGAAAAGCAATGTATGTTCATTAGAAACGAGTCTAAAGAAGGAATAAAAACCATCCATCTTCCCTCTGTTTAGAAAAGAGCTAACTTTGCTGGTATGTCCATGAATTTCCTTTCACTATTTAAAAATGCATAAAATACAAATAAAATTCAGAGTCATATATAAATACAGGTTGGCATCCTATTTTTTCCTCCTCACTTAACATGGTACCACACCACAAGTAATTAATTTCCTGTGCCCCTAATCTTTGAAAGTAGATTTCTAGTGGCTCTGCCATATTTTAGGTGTCCATTCCCACACTGTTGAAAATTCTGGTTGTTTCAGATCCTTTGTTAATGTCAGTGGTGCTGTGATGAACTGTCTTTTATATAAATCTTTGACTGTATCTTTGATAATTTACTTAGGATAGAATCCTAGAAGTTGGATGGGGCGGAGGGGTCTCACATTGCTGGAGTGAGTATCAATTGATACCACCTTTTATTTCAAGGCAACGGTTCTCTCTAACCCTTAAGCTCGTATCCCAGTACATTTGCTGAGCCTCCATGTGAGCAGTAGTGAGAGGACAGGGTCATGGCAAGGGCCTCGCTGAATGTGCCCACGTCATTGTGTTTCTAGGAGTAGAGTCTTCTCTCTGCTTCCCCTTTGTCTCCCATCCTTTATTGACTCATTTCCCCTTGTAGTCAATGTTTTTTGGAAACACTGTTTATTTTAAAATAAAAACGTGAAATAAAAGTTACAGACAGATCTTTTTTGTGTGTACGATACACAAGCAATCAGTGATTTGCTATCCTAAAGTGAACAAGGCACACTATTCAGGGATTTGTTGCTCTTTAAGAGTGCAGCCGTAAGTTACTTATTCTTATCCATGTCACGGATGGAGATCAGATGACAAATGTGTTCTGTTGAAATAAAGCCATTTTAATCCCTCATTTTAGACTCTTAAGAACCCAGCAGGCAGAAAGAGCTTTTGTTCAGCTTCCTCTTCTACCTGTTAGTGTGGGGCCCTAACTTTTGACTATAATCTAAATTCTCAGTTTACCTTACCTCTCTTGAGTTTTTCATTCATTCATTTATCCTTTCCTCCTTTTTTTTTCTTCATCATGTCTCATCGTCATGAGAGGTATCACTTTTTACTTTTAAAGAAGACAGTTTCTTGGTTTGCTAGTTTACTAATTATTACATATTTTAAAAGGGTCCTTCTTTCTGATCTTTTGTCTTTTCTGTTGCTCAGTGGCCATTTTTGGAGTACCTGATCCTTCAGGAATTCAGTGGGAATCCATTTTCTTGGGTGAGATAAGCTGAAAGAGGGTGTAAGAATGACCTTGTTACAATGAACTCTTGATCTGAATAACGTAAATGTAATACATGGTCCCCAGAATACATTTGCTTTGGAATTCAGCGATATACATTAGCTATTCACCAAGTTACCTCCTCATGCTGAAGTCTTATACCTTCTGCCTGTCCCCAGCCCTGGAGCAGTTTCGCGTCAGGTGATGGTGCAGGGCTTACAGGCAGCCAGGTAGCTTACTTGTTCAAATGACCTAGCCTACCAACCTGCTAGGAGATGCGTTAGTCACCCCCCTTTGCTTGAGGCACCGAGGCCCTTGCCCTAGTGCCGGCATGTGATTTGGGAAGGTGGGAAGTACATTAGACTATTATTTCCATCTAACCAGGTCTGTCTGTGGCCCACCTTGTTGGAGGTCCCTAGACACTGTGGGTAACTGAACCAAATGGGTAATCATTTGGGGGATAATCAGGAACTAACTTCCTTTGCATAGGAATAGGGAATGTCCAAGGACCTAGTTCAAGAATCCTGGGTGGTATCCTCTTCAAATATAGTATACACTGCCTTAAAAGGTCATTTTCTGCTCTGAATGGAGATAATTTCCTACCTTCCAGACTGAACCCAAAGCATTTGCCCTCCTTTTAGCTTCCTTACTTGTTATTAATTCTTGCATTTTCCTCTCGCTAAGTGGGTAGTCTGTTGCCTTTCTGCCTGCATAAGCTCCAAAAGCTGCTGAGTTTGGAGTCAGCATTATTATAAGCATGATGTGTGGTCCAGAATATTCCTGAGTTGGAGAGCCTACTTATATTCTACTCCTGCTTCCCAAAGATCTCCCTTTTCAGGCTTCAACATGCTGGGGCAGAGTTGGGATTCTGACTGTTCAGGCCACCAGGGTATCCATTAAGTCCTGTATAAGAACCAAACATTTGAGCTTAGTAAGCTAACAGCTGAAAAGAAATGGGAGATTAAGACATGGGTAGTTTTAAAAGAGGTATGTTTATTTGGTTCATGGGTTGATGGGGGTAGCCCATGGACTTCGCTTTCTATTTTGCTTTTCCCTGTACTCAGTTCTGTCGTGTGTTGGAGGGTCAGAGAAACAGGCTGGTGACCTAGGTTTTGGTTCTGGCCATTAGCTGTGTATCTTTGGACTAATCACTTAACTTTTCTGGGCTGCTTTCTTTACCAATAAAGTTAGAAGTCGAGATTAGATGTGCTGTAAGGACCCTCCTAGCTGTAGCATTCTGCAATACATCCCACTGTTTCTTATGTGGCGCTTTCCCTTGGGAGTTGTGTACCTTCTGCTTCGCTGAACACCCTCATCCTGCCCCCGGCTCTGGGAATGGAGACTGTGCACGGAAAGGGGGGAAATGAGGGAAGCAGGATGCCATACTATGTCCTCCTGGCCTCACTGACTAGAGAGAGAAGCCTGCTTCCTCCACCTGGTGTTCCACCTGGGGTCAAAATACAGTTCTCACCAGAGGTGTGCTGTGTGTGGCCTTAGGGAACTCACATTCCTACTTAGTTCACTACTTAACAACAAAGAAAGAAGAGAAATGTTTATCTTCAACCGCATTGCTAGTTCTGTAAGGTTTAATAAGGGATAAGCACAGAATGGAAATGAGGCAAGTTTGCCAAGTATTATAGATGGGAAGATTTTGAGAAAAAAGGAGTGAGTGTTTCTCATTTTAAGGATAGGAGAAATTAAGACTATACTATAGAGGACTGAATAGAATTAGGTACTTTACAAGGAAAACACTAAACCAGTAAGTTAAAAATATTCTCTTTTTTTATGTTGTCATGACTGCCTTTTTGAGGGATCCAGTGTTAGCATGTTGTTATCCATCCATAAGTCCTAAGACATGATCAACTCACAGGGAGACTGGGAAGTTTCTGGGGCCTGCATCTTGTATAACCCTGACTGGCCTTGGACTTTGTCCCTTTTACCTTTGGCCATCAGTAAGACAGACATGTGCAAAATGTAGTTTATATTTTATAAGCTGCCAAAAGGCATTGCTCTGTTTATATATCTGTTCCCTATGACCTGACAGAAAATACATTTCCCAGTTCATCCTTGTGCTTAGTTTCAGTCCCAAAGAGGGTGTTGGTATATTGGCTTTTCTTTGTTTAGCACAGATTTAGACCCAATATACTAAACTTGCAGCACTTTTTATAATAATCACCCAGATGTAGACACGAGCCCCCATTTTCTGCCAAATCAGGGTCATTTTGTTGCTGTAGTTCAAAAAAAAGTAACCGGATAGCCAAAAGGGAGGCTAAGTGTATTTCTCTGCCCTCTGATAGATGAACCCTAACTTCATCTAAAATTCTGACATCTTTCATCATATCCCATAGAGCCAACTAGAGTCCCAGCAAGCTAGCTTATTTTTTTTTAATCAAAGGATGTATGTATGGGCCCTGGAGGTTTGGTAGGCCTGAGATGTAGCCACATACATGCGGCTTCCTCTGAGTTCTTGGATACAATGAGCAGGACTAATGTTGGCTCCAAAAAGGGACAGAGATGGCTTGGGGTTAGTTTTTCTTTTTTAAATGTCATACAAATGCAGAGCAGTTGGCTGCCGTCCCCGTCTCAGACCATCAGCAGAGCTTGACCTTGGCCAAGATTTTGCCTCATCCTCTCGGCATCTCAGCATAGAGTTGCGTTTCAGCCGTGGAATGCTTAACCAAAAACACATGCTGTAGTGATGGTTTCCAAAGAGCAAATTTTTGCAGAAAGTCTACATTGTGTTGTCTTCTCAAAACAACAGTTTTCTCTGAACTACCAACCCAATAAACCCCCAAGTGGCGATTCTTTGACTCATTTGTTTACAAGGGCTAGGATTTTTGTTGTTGTTAATAATACTTTATTGAAGAACAGCAAAATGAACATACAATAAAGTACAAATCTTAAGAGTACTGCGTGTGAATTTTGACAAATTGTATGCCCCATGTAGCCATTCAGGGCTGGGGTTTCTTTCTTTCTTTCTTTCTTTTTTTTTTTTTGAGCAACCACTCATCACAGCCCTTTATTGGCTTGGACTAGCTATGCAGGACCCTCCCACCCAATCCTGGGACTGTGCTCCTTGGGGTCTCCCAGCTCCTGGCCAAGGACAGCCTAGCTCTTGTGGGCCCCTCAGCCTGCCCACAGATCATGACCTCCTCTAAGGCCCTTTGCCAGGCCTGAAACTGGAGGGGCAACTAGAAGCCCCAAGGCAAGGGCCCTGCCCTCTCCCACTGGCTGAGGCAGGTTTCAGAAAAGGCCATTCACTGCCCAGTGGTGTTGGGCAAAGGAAAATGACGATTTGGGAAGAGAGAGGCTGGACAGTGAGTGAACAGATGCTCAGGATTGGGAATCATACAAAAAAGGGGTGCCCCGTCTGCTCCTAAGTGTGAGAGAGTCAGTCGTTGTGCAAGCACCACACCAGCATCTGGCCCACCTCTGTCATGCTCAGCACATGTTCCATCTTGTCCAGGACCATACGGGGAGGGCCACTGATGAAGTACTCAAAAAAGTTTTGTTTCCCAAGACACTTCTCTTTGAGGCCCCCAGATACTCTATCAGCTCTGGAGCTGAGTGCTCATCACCCACTGGGGTGGGGCCCACTTCTATGTGGACCTGGGTGCTGATGAGCAGGTAGGGCATGATGTGTGAGTCCCGATCAGGCTCCTACCTAGGGCTTTGGGCTCAGTGTGGACACCAGCCCCTCAGGTTCTAGGACTGCTGCGACCCACGGCTCTGAGTCCAGTTGGGGCTGGGGTTTCTTATATTACATGAAACATCTGATGATGTACGGCTTTGGATCAGAAGGTTGTACATTCATCTACCTGAGCAGATTACTATAAGACAGCAAATCCAGTTTGCTCTTTTGTCGTATCTAGTAGATGTGGTTACTGCAAAACTTCATGATATTTGTTTCTTACAAGTTACTTTTGAAAATAGGTAATGTGTGCACAAATTCCCAAAAAAAAATTTTTAATGTGTAATGAAAAGGGAATCCCTCCCCCCGCCCCCATCCCTCCCCAGTCCTTTCCCTCCTTGAAGGTAACACTGTTACTGTTACTTGGGCGTTATTCAGCCTGGAGCTGGGGGGAAGAGGGGTTTTGTTTTTAAGTCCCAGCTTTCTTTGGTTGTTAACCAAGAATATGTTTCTCAGGGGCGCCTGGGTGGCTCGGTCGTTAAGCGTCTGCCTTCGGCTCAGGTCATGATCCCGGGGTCCTGGGATCGAGCCCCGCATCGGGCTCCCTGCTCCGCAGGAAGCCTGCTTCTCCCTCTCCCACTCCCCCTGCTGTCTTCCCTTTCTCGCTGTGTCTCTCTAGGTCAAATAAATAAAATCTTAAAAAAAAAAAAAAAAAGAATGTTTCTCAGCCTTTCTCTTTATACTCCAGGCTCTGGTCTAAGGCATTTATGCAGAAACTTGGACTTACAGCCTCAGTACCACTAATCCTGTTTGTCCTGTCCTATGAAGTTCATTCTCTGTATCTGTCATCTGGTTCAAAAGTCCATGTTTCTCACAGGATTGGCCAGGAGTTGATGATAGCTGGAGTTGGGTTTTTTATATTAGGCTTGCTACTTTTAAAATACATATTTGAAATTTTCCATAATCAATTTTTAAAAATTCATATTTCTTTAGCAGGGGCTTCTGCAACATACCTATCTGACTAAATTTTTTGTTTTAAAGTGATGCTGAATTGCAATCCACAAGTAAACCATAGATGGATCTCTAGACAGTCCCACCCCCACCCCCACAGCCACCCAAATCAGACATTCAGAACTCCAAAGTTACAGACATGAACTGGGATGAATTTTCACCTTCACAAGCCATTCTTCTCTTTAAACATAGGATTGACCTCAAATTTATTTTGAAAGGCCAACTTCTCTGGCAGGCAAAATTTGATTTGATTTATACACTATGTTTTTCAAGAATATAAATGTCATGCAGCGCAGAGGACTTATATTCAGCCTGGCACAGTATTTTACACAATTTACAGGCTCCAGAGCCAGGGAAGGAAGCCCTCTCATTCCCAGCCCTCTCAGTCAGAAACCAAAGCGTGATGGATGGATGGCTGTCCTCAGCCACTTTTAGCTCCCAGCCTTATTTTGTACTCCTTTGTGGCAGGTGGATGAGGAGTCAGGTCTTCCCCAGATTAGAGTTTCCCAAAGATACACAGTCCAGGGAAAGGAGGGAGGCTGTTTGTGTTTTCCAATTCAAGTCCCATATGGTTTCCCTGGGGCCATTTTATCTCTCCTGTCCTTTGGTGCTCTCCTCTTTGTCTTGCTGTTATCCGATCACCCAAGGCCTCTTCAGTCATCACTGAGAATACTCCCCCTGGTCAGGGAGCTCCCTGTGAGCATCCCTTTTAGCACTGCCGTCACATTTGAGCAGCATCTGCTTTCTGACAAGCTTGAAGACAGAGTGAAGGAAGTCGTCGAGACTTTCCCAGTGGAAGTGGATAACACAAGCAGCCTTTGGGACTTGGATCAATACGCTGTGAGGTTAGTGGCCGGGCAGCTTGTACCAGGGGAGGGGAGGCTGATTCCCAGAGGGGGCAAGGATCTCGTGGTCTCAGCTCTGTCGTCTGCGCAGGGTCCTAATGCTGGCATGGTTCCCTAAGCCTTTGGCTCCAGGCTTTTCTAGACAGAAAACAGACGGAGGTAAAATGCTTGCTTGTGTTTTAGATAGACTCTGCTCGCCGCAGCCAAGAAGCCCACAGCTTGGGAGGTGAATGACCCTTCCTGAGAGGTTTCTGTTGCGCCATGGCTTCCTGCTCCTGTTCCCTGACCCGACTGTGCTGGTGTCAGGCGTCTGCTTGCTGCTCCCCGGACGGTTTCTCTTCGGGCCTTTCTGGTTTTAGTACTTACTACACTTTCATGGGTTTTCGCTCTCTGCTCTTTCTTGCCCTGAAGCTGTTTTTCCTCATACTGTGTATCTTTCCATCTCTCGTGTCCACTCTGTCAAGTGCGTGTCTCCATCTGCTGCTCCTTGTCTGACTGCCACGGCTTCTCAAATTGTCCTCTCGCCCGCACCTTCCCGTAGCCTGCTGGGGGACGACCCGCCCTCACCTGGGCTTTGTTGGCCCTGGAAAGAAGTCGGGTACAGGGATTTCGAGCGGATGGCGGAGGAGCCTATCCCAGTTGTGGGGCATGTGACCGCGCCAGTCTGGGTGGGGGCCTCAGAGATGCGGCTGTCGCTGGGCAGTGTGGCAGTGAAGTAGGTAAGTCGGGGGTGGGGGGGTGGAAGGAAGTAGGGGACACAGAAGGGACGGCCAGCACCCATCGAAGGGGATAATCAGAAAAGGAGGTAGAAGAAGGCCGGGTGGCAGCTAGATGTCACAAGGGAAAGCTGAGCAGGAGCCACACTAGGGGAGAAAAACGGGGCAGCAGGGCCTGCCAGAGATACCGCAGCCCAGCTCTGCCAAGCAGAGGCCAGTGGGCCAGGGGGAGAGAAAAGGGAGCCTTAAAGACCCCTTCTCCCCATGCATCTCTGGTCCTTTTGTTCTTTTTCCTTTCATGTTCCTGCCCTCATGTTATATTAGCAACAGAAAACAAAACAAAAAGCAGTCTGTCTTTGAAAGGGAATGGCAAGATCTGGAGAGTTTAAAGCTAGATGCGTGTACTTCCCCATTTCCTGGACTCTTGGGCCCCTTTGCCCACAGGCTGCTGGAGCCGGGAGAGCTAGCCCCTTTTTGGAACGCCTAGAATGGAGTCCCTATAGCAGTTCGACAGCTCAGCCAGAGTGCCCGTGGCAAAGGCAGCCCGCAGTGGTGCCCACCCACAGAACCCTCCACGTACACGGGGGGAGCAGGGCTGTTGGCCACGCCGGCTGGAGGGCTGGGACTGGTCTTGGGCAGGGCCTGGGCTGAGGGGTGGCTTCCAGCCATGACGCCAGCCCTATCGTGGTCTCCTCTGCCCCCAGGAAGTGAGCTGCAGAGAGGCTCGTGGTTGAAGAAAGAGAAAGGAAAACTCTTCTCTTGTTTAAAAAATGTTTAAACTGAAGAGGTAATAAATGCATATGGCAAAGAAATCAAAAGATACAAAAGAATGTATGATGAAAAGTCTCCCACTTCTGTTCTCAAGTTCCCTTCCTCAGGCATCCTGGATGTACCAATTTCTTGTACATTCTTACTTCTCCTTTTTAGGTCTGCTGTAATCCAGAAGTTTTTAGATTCTTGACCCAATGGAATATTTTAAATTGTTCGAATATATATGTATGTATGTAATGTGTGTGGAGGGACTAAATGATAATAAAGAAAACTGTATCTCGGTTTATTGCCAATAATTCTTGCTGGGGCAGGAACGGTTTAAAATAACTAACTAGAGTCTTAAAATGCTAGCACTGGAAAGGACCTTCCGAGTCCCTTGTAACAAAGCCTTCATTTCAAACACAAGAAAGAGGCCCAGAAAGTGACTTTTCCAGGGTCCCCACGTGAGGTAATGGCACTTTTTAGGTAGTGGCCTTTGGAAAGATAGGGATCCTGGAATGAAAGACAGATGATTGGCACGGGTTTAAAAATTTCCTCCATTGGATACAAACATGGGGAAGGAAATCGGTAATTTCCAGGAAAAACCTGAAGTCACATTCTAATTGAAAAATAGCACACATGCGCGTGCACACACACACACACACACAGGCACTGGCCGCGACAGAAGATGAAAGTCGGCAAAGTCTACTGTCTGTCTCTCCTGCTGAGCTGGGCAGAGGCTGTAAGAGGCAGCATGACGTCACTCCTCTACTGAGGAACCCGCACCCCTTGGACCTGGGGTTCCTGGACTGGAGGCAGACGCAGGCGTTTTTGTTGGGCCAGAGGGAGAAATGCCCGCCCAGACTTGAGTAGGAGGACAACCTGTGCATGGACCCCAGGTCAGAGATGCCAAGGGTGCAAGGAGGGAGTGCCTGGCCATGCCACCGTGGAGCTCTGCCACCACGGGATCCAGGAGCACCAACGACCCCAGCTCTTTACACCGCCTCCCGGGAGGTAACACCCCACGATTTATATGCTGACAAACCGGCAGGATAATTTTGAAAAATTCTCTCTGCTTTGACGTTCGCTCCACACACTGTGAACGATTTCAGTGTCCAAGCCAGATTGATGGGCCTTTTGATGGCTTCAGTGAGAGGGCACATGTATGACTGTAAACACTGGCAGTAAAAACCCTCAATTGCTTTGAACTGGTAAATTTCCAGGCAATGTGGATCTGATGTTACACGCCTCCCTGCATTAACAGCTTTTTCTTCCTGTTCAATTATTTTGGCTGGTAAGGGAGTGGAAATTACACTTCAAAATATATCGATGGATATTTTCAGCCTTGCTGAGAGCTTCAAAATATGTACCAATCCGAGGAACATTCCCTTAATTTCCACCTCCAAGTTTGTCAGGGAAAATGGAGGTATCAACTACAGGCCCAGTTAGACAAAAGGAGAGGCAGGACCAGGGCCAGCGGTCTCTTTGCATTTCAGATTCTCTCCGGTCTTACTGTGTAATCTCTTTCTCAGCCAAATTTTGCTCCAGCCCTAAGTCTAGGGGTCCATCCTAATATGTACCAGGTGACAAGGTCCTTGATAAAGAAATGAGATTTCCCAAGAGCTTGGGTCCGGGGCCTTGAGACAGGGCATCTGATGGAGGCGGAAAAAACCACCAGTTCTCTGTGGCTTCGTTTTCACTCAAGGGATCCAGAAGTCCTAATCTCTGATGCACGTGGTTCTCTCCTATGCCTAGGTGCTGGGCGCATGGGCAGCCATCCAGCAACACATTTGCCCCAATTGTGCTTCTGGTTTTCTCATGTCTACCTGACCGGTTCCTTCCACTCCTCTTTCTAAGCACCAGACCTGGATTTACAGCCGCCTTTCGGGACAGACCACAGAGAGCTCCAGTTCGGTTGAACATGCCTCCCAAATCTGTTCCTCCATCTGCGTTTCCCGTTAATAGTTGATTACCTTACACCAAAGCACTTGTCTCCTACACAAGAAATTTGCATGCTATTCTTCATTCCTTTCTCTAACCCCACTTCCAACTGATCACCAAATCCTTTGAGTCTGCCCTCTCTCTCTCCTCCAGAGTTTCTGCCCTAACCCAGGCCCACAGTACTGCTTGCTTGGATGATCGCGGTATCCTTGTGATCCCCGCCTCACTAAAATTTATAACTAATCATGTCACTCCCTGGTTTAAAATCTTAGATGGTTCTCCATGGCTTACCAGAGTAAGTCCAAACGTCCTAGAAAGGCAGAGAAGACATCTGTTAACCGGTCAGTGCCTACGTCTCTACCCTGTTGCCATCAGCACCCCCTACCCCCAAGCCCCTCACCATTTCCTGTGTTCCCACACACTTCCACATCCTAGTGTCCTCTGTTTGCCTCCTCCTCTTCCCAGAACACCCTTCCACTCTTGCCTACTTGCCTGCCCTTTAAGATTCAGCTCTCAGGTGACTTCTTACTTGAAGAAGCACCCTTTGTGCTTCTAGAGAGTTCCATTATATCCTCTTGTGACAATTGATGTGTATTTCCCCATGATCAGTTACTGGGCTCCTCAGAAGCTGTGATCAGGTTTTGTTCACTTTCGTGTCCCTGGAACCTGGAATTGCCTGGTGTGGTAGACACTCGAGAAGGAAAGAAAGGGATGGGCATACCACCCCACGGGTAAGCAGGCCTGTGGTATTTTCATGGGACAGAATGGGGAGTAGCAACAGCCCTCCCCCCTAGGTATTTTTTTTTTTTAAAGATTTTATTTATTTATTAGAGAGAGAGCACATGAGAGGGGGGAGGGTCAGAG